GGGGGGCAACAGCATCTCCTGGCTAAGTCTATGGAAATTTAAATAACTGCCTATTCCCATCAACAATACAGAGACCCTCGGCAGTGCCATTGTTTCGGCTGTTTGCCATGGAGTCCTGGAGCAGGTACTGACCCGTCACTGGAGCAGGGACTGACCCGTCACTGCAGCCTTGCGAATGACAAACACCGCGCCAAGACAGCCGGCCTGCCGTTACGATGACAGCATTTATCTGTGCTTCTCAAGGCTCCTTTAAAGGCCTCTGCGGCCAGCTGGGTCCGCAGAGGCCATGCGACAAATCGGTGATGAAGTCGTAAAGGGACGCTGTGGCCGGCATCGCGTACTTCAGTGTAGACCTGGGAGCAGATCCCAGTGTGTCGTTTTCGCAAGTCAGCGGTTAAAATCGGCCGTGACCCGCGGTCACTCCAGAGCAGTGTTCCTCACCGCGTGGCGAGGTGCTGAAACCCAATGAGGGAATTAAACCCTGGTCTGGCTGCATTTTTTCTAATCCCTCTTCACAGAAGTGCAGAGATGTTGATCTCACCAGGACAGATGGCGCCTCCATCTCGGCTGTCCGGCGGGCAAGGAAACGCATGGGGAATGGCCCCAGGTCAGGGTGGGCTGACACAGGGTCCAACTGTGCCGCTGACAGACACTCTCCACCAGGGATTTGTTTTTTTTAAGAACGAACACACACTCAGGTTCTGTTGGAGCAAAATGCTGTCACTCTGCTGTGTCACCAAATACAGACAGACAGACAGACTGATAGATACACCGATAGTCAGACAAATACACAGACAGACAGACTGATAGATACACCGATAGTCAGACAAATACACAGACAGACAGACTGATAGATACTTAATTAAGCCCAAAAGGAAACTGCAGGTTTACAGTAGCACAACAAACACATTTAGATGGGAAAAAACGGCAGCGATTATTTTAACAGTAACTGTGCACGACACAAATCATCAGTGAAAACTTTTGCCAGTTTTGTAAATTCGGCACATGCATTAGTTAATTTAAATGCAGACAGGTGCCTAAGGTTATGCTTTAACTCAGAATGTTTACAAAATAATCAACGAGTAAGACCAGCGACTACACAGTGACCTAGACTGACTCAGACTCATCTGGGATTTCAATAAAGGCCTAGAAGACAGATAGGTGGATATAAATTTGTACAAAGACAAAGGAGATGCTACATTCCATAGCAGCAGAGACATGCACATAGCATCGTTTGGACTAAGTGATACAAAACAATCACACAAAACTGCATTTAACAGTAGTGGATTGTTTGAATCCCTTGACACAAAATTTCCCCCAATTTCTCTAAATACTTCAGCAAAAAAAGAAAAAACAGCAAAAGGGGAATGGGTAAATATGCATCTCTCCATGAATGCCCTGGTCTGACGAATTGCATTGCACAGGGAACGGAGAGGCAAAAAGGTGTCTGTTATCAAGCCTCTCAGCTGCAGCGGTACATTGCTGTTCCCTGACATGTTGCCCATGGGGCAAGGCACGCCCCCTCATCTCAGAGGGGGGGGGGGAGAGCGGCGCTTTAAAGAACCGCAGCAACCTGTGATGTAATGCTCCTCGCTATCTCGGTCTGATTAAGAAGAGGAAGCAAATTAAATGGTGATGTTAGCTGAGATAATTGCATGATCGGGGCCCTGTGCTTTCAGCCGGTAAGGCACTGGGATTAAGGAGCTATAATGAATCTGAGAATCACCTTTGTCCTGAATTTGGGTCATGACTTACTGACCAAGGCATAATGTGGGTCCTAAGGCGAGATCCCGGGTCTAGAACAGGATCACAGGAAGCCAGCCGCAGATCCCACCAGGCAGAAGGCATTAGGTCGTATGTCCTGCATGAGATGCCAGTCTGCATGGACACATTTGCATTCATTTATATAGCAGATGCTGGTTTGGAAGGTTTGGGGTCAATGAACGGGGTCATCCAGAACCCCCAGAGCAGATGGGGTTAAGGACCTTGCTCTAGGGCCCAATGGTTATATAATTACTCTGCTGGCCATGGGATTTAAATCCATGACCTTCTGGTGCCTAATCTCCTGAGCTACTCATGGTGAGAAGATGCAAACTCCACACACATACCCATCTGAGGGTGGGACTCAAACCCACAGCTCTGGAGAGGTAAGCCACCATTCTGGCTCATTTCCAGTGTATATAAATTACTAAAATGTCCAAATAATTACATTTCCTTCCATCTCAGACGTGCCTGGTTTCCCCTGTTGTGGGTGCCTACCTCAGTGTCTCCTGCTTCTCGTGGATTTCCATTAATTTGTTTAAAGAAGATGGAACACAGAAAGAGGCCTTACTAGGTCAGTAATTTCATTTTATCATCCGCCAACAGTACAACCAGCTCCAACCAGACATTTCAGAAGAACACAAAATCAATGCGTGGGCTCTGCTGGGAATTACCCAGAATCCATTAGCAGCTCCGACCAATAGGTCAGGTAAAGTAATAGCCAGATAAATGTTTTATTACAGTTTTGCTAAACTGACTTAATGGGAAAGCTAAACCAATACGATCATGCGGAGAAAATGTCCACCATGAAATTGTAGTGCTTTGCAGCAAGCTGTGGTCAGTCAAGAAAAAGTTTTAAAAATTAAAAAAATGATTTGCGCCTGCCACCGTCCTCAGTTCTATTTCATGACGAAGTAATGCGATTGACGAAGTATGACGAAGTAATACGATATTCCATATATTGCGAGGTGCATAGTATGAAAGGCAATCGGGATATGAAACATTAAAAATATATATTTTGTTTATCGATCAAGTCTTTGCATGTCACATGTGCATGTTCCCTTTGTATGAATACACATTTTAAGTCTGAACAATATTTAATTTTAAAAAAGTGAGAGATGCTATAGTCAGGATTTCCCAGTTTGTAGAAAATGGTTTACAGAATGATATATTTACCCAGTTCACATATGTTTCACATCTTTTAAAACCCATGAGCGACGCAGTCAAAGCGGTGGAAATATCTGCATTACCGGCATTTTAGTATGGGTGCTAAAAAGAATTGAAATTCTTTTAAAATACAAAAATCAATACCCTCACTCTAATTGGCTGGTCTTGGGAAATTGTGTATTATAATAGGAATCGTACGAAATTTTGCTCCAATGTGGAAAGACAGCGGACCAAAACACCTGGGAGTTAAATGAAATAACTGGGTTACTTTGCTTTGTTGCTACCAGGGAGGCAGAGACAACACATCGGTGTGCGATTATTTATGGTAATTAAAACACATAAAAATCTGTGTTGTTTATTAATTCAGTCGACAGTCTTCCGAACCGCAGTATTCCTGAAAGAAATTACAATGTGACTCTCAGTACACAATCTGCACCGTCTGTAAGTAGAAATCACATTACATCACCAGCGACTCGCTTTCCCAGAAGACATTGCGTCAGCATAGCGCTCGCCGGGACCCAACAGCTGAAAGATTCAGATAGCAGGTTTCCAACAAGCTGCATTACAAGATCAGACCCGGTTTGCTCTAAAATCAGCTGGAAAGCAATCGGCAGAGAGGGGGGATGATGCATATTAAGCCCTAATTACTTTATGCGTGCGAGGGAAGGAAGGACGACAATTTGGCGTGAATACAGAAGTGCTGAGCTTGCACACTCGCTCACTACTGGCCCCGAGATCCCCAAATCCCTCGCGCACCCGCCCCCCTCCGCTCTCCTCCTGCGCCAAGCATGCGGCGAGACATCCACACCCACCTCCGGCTTTGCATCCACCAGAGCTCATCGCAAAGGGGGGGAAAAAATCTGAGAGACCAGGCATGACACACAACACCTGAGAACCGGCGAGGGCGGCATTAATGGGCAAGCTTAAAGTAGGACGATCGCACACCAAGCACGAGCTAAACATCCACTTGGAGAAAACACGTTGCATTTCGGTGCATACAAACTGGAAGGAACAGAGGTCACGGTGGTATGTAATAGTTTATTAAAAGATGAGTCAAAGATATGCACAACCGGGAATATGAAAACTATGCCTTTTTTTGTAACCTCAGTGATTTCTCAGTGTCAGGTCAAGTTATATTCCAAATCATGTATTCAAAACAGGACTTCATATTAAGGACCCACATAAAAAATAAACAAAATTCTCATCATCTTTTTAAGTGCAAGAAAGAAAAAAGTACAGGTTTAAAGTTGTTGTAGAAAAGGCAGTCAGGTTTAATATATTAAAAATATGAGAATGTTCCATTTTATGAAACGAGAATATGGAATGTCCCACACTACCCTCCCCCCCCCCACCCCAAGACCACCCACAAGAAATACTTGCCCGTTTCAGCACCAGAATACTTTTAAAACTGCAGGGTCAGTTTGTTCAATTCAGTGTCAGAATTTCCAATGTGTGGCTTTTCCAAATCAGATAAGGAACCGGGGGGGAACCTCTTTTTTTCTCCCACCCCCCCTTCAGAAACGCATGGTAACAGACAGCCATTTTTTGATCATTTTTGTATCAGTTCCAGCTGATTTATTTTTCTTTTTTATTGATTTTTTGTCAAGACACAGACTTCAGCATCATGACAGGTAATGATGAGCTTTTGGCAATGAACCAGCCCATCATTTGCTACAAAAATGCAGATGGTCTGTATTAAAAAGGTGTATATATTGCACAAAAAATGAGGGGAGGAGAAAAGAAAACAGTATGTGCCATAAAAAAAAATCCAGTTTCACACCTGCGATTTGGGACCCATCCACATCATCACGAGTATGATTACATAAACTCCTAACTTTACTATATTACAGTACATATACAATCTTGAAACTAATACCAGCATTGAGGTAAAGCTGCCTCAGATGCTATATGTCTCCTACAAATACTCAACATATCTGATCTACAACTGTACAAAACCTAGCTTAAAAAACCACAAAGGCATTTTTATGCAAGTTTTAAATTTAACTTAATCCTTAGACCAAGACTCCCTTGCATGCTAAAACAATCAAGAAAGGGAACAAGTGCCTGAAACTCACTGAAAGCACAGTAAGAACATTCCCTTCTTAAAGACTGTACAAAAATATGCCTGAAAATATCTTACTTTTCTTTTAAAAAGATGAGGTCTGTTATGTATCAAAACGTTTTTCTCCCACACCTGTGTTCTGGAGAGGTTTAGGCTGTTGGTCTTTTTAGAGTCAGGAGGTAAACGGAATAGGTTACCGAAAAAACAAAAATAAAAAACGCGGCATATAAATCACAAAACCCATTGTAAAGGTATGGTCCTGAAAAGTGTCCGTTCACAGATTTTGAAATCAGTCCACAGTCTTACGTTTTCAGCTCCCTGCAGTTTTAAGAGGGTAAGATGCATAGAATTTTTTCCTTCCTTTCTCTGCGGTCCGTTTTAGTTGAACAGTAATTGTAGACCTACAGGGGGAAAAATCCATAAAACCCTGTCATGCTGCCAAAAAAATGTCTGCAGTTTTTTTCTTTTATTATTTTTTTTGCACTACGGTACCAGCTTCATAAGCATCTTTAATTCCTCAAACCTCACTCCGCATCCTCCCCCGAACCCCAAGATGAACCAGAGAGGCAGGGCTAGAAACAACTTGGACAAGACATATAATTTAATTTCTTCCTCCCTGTTATTATTTGGGCTCTTAAAAAGGAAAGAGAAAAATAAAAAAAACCTAGTAAGTGAACACCAAGTCAGAAAAGTTCGCCTCCAGCCAGTCCCCGGCAATCATTTCACTCAGTTCGGGGGTGCAATAGTCTGGAAATTCAAAGTGGGAACCAAGGCTGCCCTCGCTGAACGAGTCCAAATCTTTATCCACCAGAGAGAGGGAGAGGTTTCCTGAATTCGGGTTGCCCAGCTCCGATCCTGAAGCACTGGGTGCGAAATTTAAGCTGAAGTCGAAGAGCAGGTCGTCGGCGTCCTCGCTGGAGCTGGAGGAGGTGGAGACGGACCTGGTGGAGGATGCTGGTGAAACGGACGCGGCGCATGTGGCGCTCTGCTTGGTGATGTTCTTGAAGTTGTAGAAGAGCCTGCTGGACGGCGTGCTCCGCACTTCTTCATACATGCTCGCCCCTTCCGACTCGGCGGACGAGCTCAGGGTCGGGCTGGCCGGTACTTTGGCCGCATTGCACGGCCGCGTCCGCTCCCCGTCCTCCTGCTTAATCCGGATGCGAAAGTCATCCTCGTAGTCCTCCTCGTCCTCTTCATCCGTGAGCTCGCTTTTGGAGACTTTGCTCACTTTTAAGTTCTGGAAGGCGTACTCCCCTCCGTACTCGTGGCTCGGCTTTGCACTCGCCTTACTGGTCTTTAATTTGGGGCATTTCTTGCCGGGGGTCTTGGGAATCTTGCCGCCGGATTTCTCCGGCGACTGCGCGGACGGCTTTGAGGAAACGTCGAGCTTTGGTTTTTTCTTGGGTCTGTACTTATAGTCGGGATAATCGGCCATGTGTTTCAAGCGGAGCCTCTCGGCTTCCCTGATGAAGGGAATCTTCTCGCTGTCCTTCAGCATTTTCCAGCGCTTACCCAGCCGTTTGGAGATCTCCGCGTTGTGCATGTCCGGCGACTGCTCCATGATCTTCCGCCTCTCGATTTTGGACCAAACCATGAATGCATTCATCGGTCGCTTAATGTGCCCGGTCGCCGTTTTGCACCAGTCTGGGTTCAGCGACACCGGACTGCAAGCCATGAACTCGTTCTCCTCAGTGTCAGTGGCTTCCCGGGACACGCTACTCTCCGTCTCGCTGTTCTCCGTCTGCTGTACCATGCTTGCTCCCCTTACTCTCGTAGACGCCACAGTGTCTAACAGTCCACAGCCCAGCACTTTTCTGCTTATTATAAATATATTTTTTCTCTCCGCCGACTCAATCCTCCCAAACTCCCGTACCACAAGCTCTGCACTCTTTCCAGACTTGCAAACTGCCTTCTTAACTAGTTATTAGGTTTTTCATGGCGGTTACGTCATGCACCGCCATCCAATCACGTCTCCGCACGGCTCCGCCCATCGGAGGTCGCTTTAACCCGTCCAGTCCCCGTCCAGCGTTTTCATTGGATGCCAGGTGCGCGGTGGGTGGAGTTACAGGGGGAGCGCCCTGGTCCCATGCGGTGCGAGACGGGCATATTAAGCACAAGTTAAGCAGGCGCCGTGGGGAGGATGCGAGTAGTTTTACTGTAAACCTTTAAACAGGGGACAATCTAGCTCCAGTTGGCTTAATATTTTTCCGCAGTAGCAAAACCCACGTAAGTTCAGTGTAGGCGAGGTGGCTGGATTTTCGGTAGCCGGTCGTCAGATGCAATTTCTTTTGTCAAGTGTAAAAATAATGTGGTTCAGTTGTAGAGGCAACTGAAGGTGGCGCTTGGACACTATAGCTATGCATGAGCGTGGCTGACTGCAGCAGCGTTTAATCGCTAACGTTATCCCATGCGTGGGCTATATATCCGTTCTTTTTAGTGACAGGTTTACAAACAACATCTAATCCGTTCTTCGGAATCAGTTTTTCTCTTTAACGGTGCTTTTGGGTTAATTTCCTTATTACTGATCTTAAATCCCATACGCGTAGGCGTGGACATTTGGTGGGTCCTACTGAGTCTGATGCGTGGGTCATAAGCTCGACTCTCATATGTGTGCCTTCACTTTCTGGAAGGAGCCCGCTGTTTGATTGGGGGGCTGGGTCACGATTTGATACGGTTGGCTCTTTCTGCTCCTTTATTTTTCTTGTCCCCTAGAGGGCAATACCTAACCCGTTTGAAAGAGCCCCCTTCCCCCTCCTGTCTAACGTGTGGTGTCACTGCTGATAGTGTCTCAGTGCCCTCGCCAGTAACATCTAAAGACCAGACGACTGGTCATGTCTGCGCGATGTGGAGATACTGACGAAATGCATTACAGCCGCCACGCGCTACCAGTATAGCTTAATAAGATCTGTACTTGCTTGGTGTCAGTCGCCTTCTCATTAAAACGTCTTATTTAAAACATATTTTCAGATATCATTATTTGTTCTAAGCAGCCATGGTTATGTAAATATGCAGGTAGTAACATTATTTTAAACATTCACTTATTCAGTAAGTGTCACTGTGTGATGTTATTTGTAATTGTAATTATTTATACTTAATATGCAGTTATTAATACATTTGGAGGAATTATTTTTCTGTACAGTTCCATGTAGTATACACTTTCATGTGTTCCCACTGTCGTTCACGGTCGTTAATGATTCCACGTGACGTCACGTGGGAGAGGTGAGTGGTGTGGACGGGCTTGCAAAGAGGGCCGCGAATGGGGTGCCGGCATCAGTCACAACGATCCGATGACTCGCTTATGGGCGGAGCCAGCAGAGGCGCCAGGGGTGGCCCAGACTTGCACTGAGACATGGGTTACTCACCGGGAGCTGAAGGATCCCGATCCGTTTGCGTTAAGTGCCGGGTGGGAAGACTTGGCCTTGTCTATCTGGCCCCCTCCACCCCCCCTCTAAAAAACAGCGTGAACGCTCACTGAGTTGCTCTTATTTGTTTTAAGCACTGGAATGTTAACCATGGAGTCTCAGACCTTTACACCTGGGGTCTGCTACCACCTGGCATGGACTTCACTTCCTAAGAGCTACAGAGGGTGTCTTAGGTGTGACGGGCTACAATGTAACAGCCATATGCCTGTGTGTGTCTGTGGGTGAAGGGCTGTAGGGTAAATACATTGAAAACCAGAAGAAAGAGGGAAAGAAACAGCTTGAAAGCATCTGACTTGGTCTGTATTTGCGCCCCTCTGTTTAGCTGCGACGAGGCAGCCCTCGGAACGCGGCGAGAGAGGGACTTAAACGGAGGAGAAACGCTTATCTGGAAGGGACCACAGAGGATCTGCTGCGGAAGCACTGGATCGATATTAGTCCCAGCGGAGGTGGGGGTGGCTGCTGTGGGGAAAGCAAAGGCTCAGATAGTCTCTTTAACCTGGGCACAGGTGTGCTTGTTTGGAGTTCCGACTGAGGGATTCGCAAGAAGCACAGGACAATGGGCCGGGATGTTTTGGTGTCGAATGCGGCCGGAGACGTCAGTTAGAGTCCTGCACTGCAGACCTTCTCAAATATCCCTTCTTACACCCCGGCTCAGGCATCTCCATCAACCGCCACATAGCACGTCCTCCAATCACCTGCCTGTAATCCTACTATTTGTATATTCATTATTAAAGAAAGTGCTCACTCACATTTGTATTCATATATCCTCACTGATGAGAGACTTGCATTTAAGTTTCTATAGGGTATTCTTTGTAAAACCGCTGGCTAATGCTCTCTTTTTTTTCAGGAACGGGTTCTTTTTAATGTTTTGTTTTGATTCTTTCGTACATGAGAATTTTGGGGGAAAGAAAATCACATGTCTCTGTCATGTACTACAGCTCTGTTAATTACTCCAAAAACATTCCCCTCTTTTTTTATGCAAATGCGTAGCGGAAACCGTGAATTATAACTTCTGATGTTATGTTGTAATAGAGCTACCAGCCGTGATTACACAAACCCGTTCCCCCCACGTCGAAAGCCATAAAACTCACGGAAACCCCCTACAGAGACTCCACCACCATCACACACCAAAGAGAAGGCCAGCCAGTCGCGAAAGCCACACCAAAATGCTTGAGCTGATTGCACTTACAAAGACAAAATAACAGGCCACTGATAAGTTTAGCAAACCAAACTTCACAATAAGCATCTAGTGTCAACAAAACGGCAGGACCTTCTCATCTTCTTTCTTAATTTATCAAAAACAATTCAATTCAATTTTATTTGCATAGCGCATTTTCACATTACATTGTGTCAAAGCGCTTAATATTATCCCTGCCCATTGGCCCCAGTGAGTAAGGCAGAGGAGATAGTGGCAAGGAAAAACTCCCTAGTAGGAAGAAACTTTGGGAGGAACCAGACTCGGAGGGGAGCCCAACCTCCAAGTCAATTGAGCAAGATGCCAATGTCCCAATTCATACTGTCCGAATTTTAAAATCTGAGTATGAAAGTGGGGAGCAGACATGAGTCTTTGAGTGCTTCACGTAATAGTCTTGGCTTCTTTTGAAGGTCTTCACTGATGCATCAATATCCATTCAATATATTCTTACTGTAACAGCTAAGCAGGAAGAAACATTTGCCCTTTACATTGTTCACTGTTCACGACTCAACGCAAAACCATTTTCAGGGTGTCATGTACTCCCCACCCCACCCCACCCCCTTCTCTTTTTTTTTGACACGTAGATGTTTTCACACTTTCAAGGTTTGATGCTTAGCAGATACTCGAGCCTGGAGTGTATTGTCATTAATATAAACAGTCAGCACTCGGCACCCTTGCCACGTTGACTACGTCCTTGGACCCCCCCCGCCCCACTTCTCCGAGGGCAGACCCCGTTTGGAATGTTCTGCAGTCTTCTTTAACTCCAGTAGTAATCTGCCACATGGAACCGACCGATCAAAACATTCAGTCTAAATTTTCATGTCACCTGAAGTTTGCGTTCTGCAATGAGCAAATATTTTGACTCCCCAGCATTGATTTTATACTATTTTTAGAATTTCTTCAACCAAAGGAGACAAAAATCGGTGAAACGTACGTTACTTACTTTTGTAGCTCAGGAGAAACTTTCTTATTAGTTAAACGCCTGACAGTTTTACACCTAATTATTTGCACAAGCAGACAATTTTATAAAGTGGTTCAGGGTGGGAATCACGTCTGGCACTCCGGCCGCCAAGTCGACTCTCCTAAACCAAATGCCCCCACCCCGGAGTATCACACCTCAACCGACGCCTCAGAGTTCACGGGTGCGGGGGTTGGGGGGCACCCCGTTGCCGTATGTTGCCCAAATTATACGGTAGAATTAAATGACGATGTTTGGCCGCGTTTGTTAGCGTTCAGTCTCGTAATTGTAAACATGGATGCCCCCTCCGAGAGTGATGACCCCCCGTAATGAGAGTGTGTTTAGTCTGGAAGCCGGGACAAATGCTGATGAATACCCCGATTGCAGCTTAACCCTTTCCCTGCAAGCTCAGATGAAACACTAAAAAGAGAATCTTCCATTTTCTAATTCACTGGTTTTTGTTGTTGTTTTATTTCAAAGCCAGGAGACCCACAGCATCAGAAATAGCAGAAACTGAGGCTAAATTGTGAAAGAAGTCTTGTAATAAATGTATATTTATTTGATCTTGGCACGTCAAATCATAAAGTAGGATTATTTTAATAAATGATTGTGTTGAATTGTGAGCCTTTTTCCCGAAAGCACTTTGAAGGCCCATAGATATCCTCTCAACCATACCGCGGATACGGTCTTGAGTTTTACAGTAGACAGCTGAGTGTGTGCAAAAATATTTATGTACCTGACAGGACCTTGTCATGGTTATGACAGAAAACAATTTGGAAGATAACATTTTATTTGAGCAAGAAATCGAGGTTCTGTTGTAACAGCGGTATTGAAATCCAACATTTGTGTTCATAAGCCTAATATCCAGAGCTCTATCTGGCCAATCTGAGTCATATTGTGACTGTCTTTTGCTCACAGAGTGCATCAGTGCTGTCGGGACCTCGGGTCCGGTCAGGGATAATGATTCAGGAGCTTCTAAACTGCACATACTGACTAATCTTTATTCTGTCTTTTTGATCTTTTACATTTGTAATGTCTCATTTTATATAGATATAATTATTTAATCTTAATTTTTCAGTGCACTTTCTTTCGCCTTTTGAAGATGAAATTTTCAATCGCATAGAGAATTTTTTTTGTATTGAAAAGACATTGTATAAACTTTTTTGATAGCTCTGTTTTTGTCTAAGCAGACTGATGGTGGAGTAGATTAGAGATGAAACAGATGTAGGATCTGTGACGACATCATGTTGTTTGTGTTTACATGGTCTGATCTAAATGCTGTTGGTTCGAACCCCACAAGGAGCTGTGCTCTAGCACCCTAAAGGAAGGTCTTAACCTGATT